TAAATCAGCAATGCAATAAAAAACTAGGAGTAATCCTAATATTCGTTGCGTTAAGGACCTGGTTGTTCATAGGATAAATGCTACTCCTAAAATCCTAACGACACCGCTGGCACCAGAGAGCCATATAAAGCAATGTTTCCAATGAAAGGCCTGTTTTCTGACGGAGCAGCCGCAGACGGCCAGAGAACAAGGAGCAGTGGAGGAGGAGAACCTGGAGTTTCTCCTAGTTCTGAACTCTGCACTGGGCTCAAATGTCGTCAATTACTGTGAGATATACGGGGCAGCCTGTTTCCACCACTTACTGAGTCCCTTTCAGTTGCAGCCCACTTGGACTGTAAATCATCATTCTCGCTTCCAAGGTTTGCAGCAGTGTGGAGTCACTAGTGAGACCCTCCTCTGTCTCGGCCCAATTCTGAAGGAATTCCCTCCCTCTGTGTGCCAAACCCCAAACTCGAGCTGTGGAGCATGCAGCTGCACGCCCAAGCAGACACGCTCACTTGCAAACATTGATTTAAACACATACAAATGCACACAAATGTTGGTGTTCGGAGTATGAAATTCCCTGGAGTTATAGATCATTGCAAACAGGTAGAAAGTTTAGCATGCACACACACACACACACACACATGTGCAGGATGTAGCTCACTGAGGGACGTCAGCGCTCCCATACACAGTGAGCCTTATTGCAGAGTTTAATAGAGGAAAACCAGCATGAATCCCTACAGTCATTCTGTTCCAGTCAAACACACCATTCACACAACACCAACCCTGTGCATTTGTTCAAACACACACAAATTCCTGCATACAGTACATTGTGTGCTTTGGAATGTACTTATTGTGTGTGTTTAGATATGTGTAATAATTGAATGTGACCGAAAGTGTTCTCATGCAAATGTGACCTACAAGTAATGTGTGTGTATTGTATAAGTTGTGTATGTGTTTGTTTTATGTATGAGAACATGTAGCATCTGAATGTGTGTCTGTATGGAGGCCAAACTGATCTATTGGTGCTGCTCTGTCACCTTTCAGAAACACACTGGCTTTATGGTCAGTTTGAGCACTATCTCAGACTGTATGTGTTTGTGTGTGTGCAAGTGCAAGAGAGAGCATGAGTGAGTCCAGAAACAATTTTTACCCCCTAAACGCTTAATCTAATGTATACAATTATTAGTCTTGTTTGCTGTCAGAAAAAGAATTAAACACATAAACAGTCAAAGTGATCACAGGGTGATTAGCACAGTGTACTACTCCAACTCTACAGTACATTACACTAAGTAAAAGAGGTAAGAAGATACCCATGGGCGGAGCCAGGGGGTGGTCACCCCCAGAATCTGAATGGCCACCCATGGTGCCACCCCTGCCAGAGTCAGAATGTGATTCTTGTCAGTATTAATGAATGAAAAACAATGTCAAACTGTGGCCTTAAATACAACAAACACTTTGCTGGCGACCAATGTGCAGCAGCAATGTCCCCAACAGAGATTAAATGAGTAGTACAGCCAACGTTAGTAAAAAAAAAAAAAAAAAGCACAATGTGTGTCTCATTTTTACAAAAAGGTTTAGATTCTTTGCATAGTTTATTTGTTTGTTAGTTTTCTCTTTACATATACAATATTTCATATGTGTCACTCTTCTCTGAGTCTGTGCCGCAGCCTGGCCACCCCTTCCAAAACTTTCTAGATCCACCCCTGCACATACCAGGAAAATAAATAACATTCTCAGTTATAAACATCGCAGATTCAAAAAAGGGGCACAATTAAAAATGTACTCATAATGCTCCCTGAGTCTGTATTTGTGCAAGTATGTTTCGTTTGGGGTGTAAACTGTCTGAGTTGTGATGTATAGACATGTTGACCCAAAACCAGGTTATCTGATGACAAACAGAATTTGTCTTCACAGTGATTAGTGTCAATATTAACACACACACACTGCACATGCAGGCATACAGAACTGAGCTGTGCAGATGGTGACTTGGCATCTTTCTCTCTGCAGTGCAAAATCTCACATCATCTTAAAAGTGCTCATTTTCCAAATTGATTTCACATTGCGAGACCCTCCTGGAGATTAACAAAGTAAATTCCACTTCTTCTGTCCAAAAGAAGCAACCACAGATTTTCTTTTTGTGCTTAAACCTCAGATAAGCAGACATGGATGATTTTCTTGAGACTGTTTAGTACATCCTTTGTCTGTGATTCTAGGTGATATGTAATTGTTGATGGAGTCTAATGAGTGGTCCATTTGTTTCATTAATGGGGCAGATGCAAACCATTCAGCCAAGAAAACGGCTATTGTTCCCTTTACCTTCTCGTTTTTTATGCATTAGTTCGGCAGTTGTTAGTGCTCGACCGTAGTGCTTTGGTGATAGTCAAATGACAAAGTGTTAATAGAATATAACAGGATGGGTAGGACAAAGGTGGGCAATGTTCAGCTGGATGCAGCCAATTTCTGTGTGAGAGGCCTGCCTAAAAACCCTATTCATAGGCTGCCTAATGCTGGTGCGTAATTAAATGTGATTACTGGAGCAGAGGGCTTCTCTCTCTCTCTGAGGGCCACACACAGGACTGCAGGCAGTGTGCGTGCACTCATTAAGGAGGCGCTAACAGACGTACACAAGCAATGACCACAGGCATTTCTAAAACTCTACGACACATCTCGCTCCATGGCACACACGCACACAGACATAGACAGAAGTAAAATAAAAATAACATCATGTATCTCCAAAATGTCAGCTTTTCAGGTGCTAAAAAAGCAGACTGGGTCTGAAAAGAAATAAGCCAAAATGTTTTTGACCAATGCTTCATCTGAAGATGAAACCGTGGCAAAGCCTCTATAAAATGCAAAAAACAAACATAACAAGGCTTGCAGCAGTAAATAAAAATAAAACAGGATAAACTATGACCTTCAGTCAGTGATGACCATAAGGCAAACATGCAGAAATATAAACAAAAATCAGTTATGGTTTCCATGCACACACACACACACACACACACACACACCTTCTCTGGCCCACTCTCCAGCCCAGTTTTCTGGGCAGACGCAGTCCCCTGATGCTCATGGGAAATAGTGAGCATGCCAAGCCCCACAAAGGCATCCTTTCAGCTGCCCACATGCTTGACCTGTGCTGGGTCAGCACCCTGCTTTGTGCCCCATGACCCCTGAGTGACCTGGGGTCATGGTGAGGGCCTGAGGTCATATCCAGATGCCTGCATCTAATTTTGTCCCAACTGGGTTATCCGTTCAAATCTGCCCTAAAATTTGGCCCCGCTGAAATCCACTACTACCTCCACACATGACTGAGCTCTATAGAAAGATATAGGTACTCCGCAGTCTAATTGGGCTGCTGTGGAGTAGTGCTCACACTCTAGCTCTCTCTTAGGCTCTCGCTCTCTCTCTCTCTCTCTCTCTCTCTCTCTCTCTCACACACACACACACACAGACCCCCTGTAACTGCACTAATACCCCATCTCATGGCCTTTGGTCTGTCTTTAGGGATTAGGTGCAGAAAGACACATATACAAGCTCAGATACATCCACACAAACACTTACAAGCGCAGCAGCCCTGGCTGAGGGTCTAGCTTGAGGGATTAGGTGCAGAGAGACAGGACCCTCCAGCCAATCAGCCGGTCTGTCACATTGAGTTTGAGGGGTCACTGGTGCACAATGGCCAGGGTTTTCCTGTCTCAACCTCTCTGATCACACACATATGCACATACATACTCATACACATGCACATGTAATTACAATAAACTGTTTTTTTTTACATAATTTAAAAGGCAGAGCTAGAAAAGTGATGGTCTGTAGGGTAAAAAATGTGGATTGTAAACACTGAACGGTAAAACATTAAATAAATGCATAAAAAAGAAATACACAATGCAAAAATCCCTCCTGTCCATTTTTTAAAGCTTCATCACTGCCCTGCGTCTAAAAAGCCTCCAACCCGAGGGGGAAAGCACACCCGACAGAGGAAAAGCTCCCAGGTCAACCCCCAGGCTCCCAACCTTCGCTCCGTCTTCTCCTTCCTGGTTAAGCAACACAATAGTCATCTATCAGAGAGGGCATCAGGCAGGCACCTTCGCTCACAGAAATAAACCATGCCACTGCCAACAGCGTCTGAGGTGCTCAGGCTGACTAGTTTCTCTGACATCATCTACGACTGGCCTGCTCTGTTTTATTCTTTGTTCCCCCGTCACACCTTGAGCCCTCACATCCCTCTGTAACCTGTTTCCCCTTCCTGACGGGACTCACTTTGGCATCTGGATAAACAGGATTCATACATGTCTGCAGGCATTGTTATCATTACAAAGCCTGTCAGCTGTGGAAGAGGTACTAATGTCCAAGTGCAGCATTATAAAATACTTCATTTTAAGTAAAATCCCTGCTTTCAAAATTCTTCTTAAGAAAGTATTTGCACCAAAATATACTTCAAACATCAACAATGAGCATGTGCGACTAATACATTTTTATAGATAGACTATTAAACTGTGAACACTAATAAATCAGTGTGTCAGTAACAGTAGTTTTTGGTGAAAATGCTATCAGCTCCTACACATCTGTTGTAAACACCTTTTTTTTAGAGGTCAAAAGCCAGAAAGTCTGGAAATCACTAGTTAAGTCTTTAAATTAAGCACTGTATTGTATGGTGTCATCATGTTTTGTTTTTAAATGGAGAATCTTAATCTGAAAAGTAACTAGTAAGCTATAGCTGTAAAATAAATGTAGTAGCGTAAGAAGTTACAGTGGCATTTAAAGGAAATATTCACAACATTGTTTGTGTGTAAATGTATGCTATTCTTTCCACCACTGGAGCTCAGCTATTACTTGGTGTTTTGGCACAGCAGTGCCTGTATGTATGTCAACAGAAAGTTCTTAAAAATAAAAGGAAATGCTGGAAGAAAGTCAAAAGAAAAGGGGGAATTAACTGCAAGCTGAATTCTTCAACGTAACTTTCCACTTAAACTAAAATAGTGACCCTTTTTGATCGCTAGTGGGCGCACAAGTGTTTTACTGGCACTGAGATCAGCAGACTGTGTAGTCTTCATTCACCTCCTCGACTACAAGCTTTACTTCCTGGATACGCGTTCACAGAAACAGCCAGGTTGAATTTGTTATTATCGTCTTAAACGGATTTTCTGTCGACTTGTATCTTATACACACAAAGACGCAAGTTTACAACGATAAAGGACCGATTAATGTCAGGGAACTACCGATGATAACGTAAAGCTGCCACGTAGAAGTCGCAGAGGAAGGTGAGAAATAACTGACGATGTTAGCTTGCTAGCTAAACACTTTAATCTTTATGACCCGTTTGTGTTCATTTGATTACATTTTATATTAGCATTTGGTTAGTGGATATCCTACAAAAAAGGTATGATTAAACCACGTCCAATGTTAACATTCGCTTATGTCTCTATTCATCCCCAGAGCGCCACGTCATTGATTGGCAGAGAAACACACCCGGGCTTTAGCCCCGCTTTGGACCGGAAATTAGACGTTTACACTTCACTATCAGCCTCCACTGTGCTGCAGCGGTCTCCGTGCTGTTTAACTTACTATTACCGAAAGAAGGCCAGACAATAAACTGCCAAACATGGCGGCGTCCAACGCTGGTCTCACCATGAATGTTGTGAACAGTATCGTCGGGGTCAGCGTGCTCACCATGCCCTTCTGCTTCAAACAGGTGAAGCTCCCAAAAACGACGCCTTATTATGACCGTGTCCAGTGGCGGAAGAAATATTTAGATGATTTACTTCAATAAATGTTGCAGTTAAAGTTCTACATTATAGTTATTGTATTTCTGGCAACTGATATTAGATTTTATCAAACATAGGCAGCCCTATATAGCTCTTAATTACCCAGTGAAATGCACACACTCATATTACATTTATAATATTTGCATAGTTTAATAGAAGACTTTATCTCACGATTTGCAATTCAGTAAAAAGAGCAGATATCAGGACAGGTCTGTGAATGCATGTATGATGTATGTTTCCTCTCACAGTGTGGGATAGTGCTGGGAACAGTGCTGCTGTTCTTCTGTTCCTGGATGACCCACAAGTCTTGCATGTTCCTGGTCCATACGGCCAACAACACCAAGCGAAGGACCTATGCTGGATTGGGTGAGTTTAAGTTGTGATAACAATTATGACATAAACTTCATTAGCAGACCGCATCACTGCCCAGAATGAGAATAAACCAGAACCTTGCAGACTTAAAGCTGCTGCATTGTACAAGTAGTGTGTTGGGAGTGTTAGGTAAGTATTGACATGGCGGTTTGAGCTTAGGTATTATCAAAAGAGAAGCTATTTTAGGACACTACCATCTGTTTGATCACTTCTTGTTCACATCGATATCACTCCCTTCTCTGTAGCCTTCCATGCTTATGGGAAACCAGGAAAAGCACTGGTGGAGACAAGGCAAGTGTCATTATGTATTCACAACACACATTATGGTGTGTTTGAAGTGTGTATGTTGTCATATATTTTGCAAATATTTGTCATAGACCTTAGAATATTGTTGCATTGAAATGGATTAAGTCCATTTAGGATACAAATTGTAGATAGAAAATAAACATAACAAAAGTACAATAAAATATGTCTGTGTTCAAAACCATTGACGGTGATATCAACCAAGATCACACCTGTTCCCCTCTGTCTCTGCAGTATGATCGGGTTGATGTTGGGAACCTGCATCGCCTTCTATGTTGTCATTGCAGATTTGGGCTCAAATTTCTTCGCTCAGCTGATGGGTTTACAGGTTTGACGTCATTATTTGGTATAGCACCCCTCAGTTTTTCAACACTAAAATAATCATGTCATAAGTTTCGTCTTCACTCTTCTCTTGTGCCTTCTTCTTGACTTTACACTACAGCCATCAAAACAGTTAATAACTGCTGTAAATGTTAGAGTATGATTAAGGTAGAGTCATGTCTGTTCTCTTATCATATTTAACAATTCTCTGAAGGTGACTGGCAGTTTTCGTGTGCTGCTGCTGATCGCCGTGTCACTGTTCATCGTCCTCCCTCTGAGTCTGCAGAGGAACATGATGTCCACCATCCAGTCCTTCTCAGCTATGGCTCTCATCTTTTACACCCTGTTCATGTTCACGGTGAGCCCATTGACACACAGACAGTTGCACTCCATGTAGTGTATCTGAATAGACTGCAGTTCTGGCTTTGAGTTCAGACTGACAAAGTGAAAGAGGTAGAGCTATCCTTGGAAAAGATCAAATACTTTTATTGAGTTAGTTATACAGTTACACAGCACAGTAAATGCAGTGATGATCTGACAGCTGGAGTCTTGAAATGATTCCTGCTACAGTTAAGAATTGGCAAATTATAAAGTATCAAAAACACTGATACCAGTTTTGTGGAAGCTTATTAGTGATATCACAGTCATGCAGCCGGACTGGGAGTTGATTAAACTGTAGACCAGTTTACATATTAGCAGGGTATGATAAATTTGTCAGATTTTTATATTCAAAGTTGTTGGTTCATTTAAAAATGTTCCTAAAGTACTGCAGTTGATTTTGACGCCAGTGTGCTTTTTGGTTTTTAGTTTTTCCAACAACAGTACAAAAATATCACACTAATTTTAAAACTGCAACATAGTTCATTGATCTTGTCTTTTGTTATAATTTGAAACTTATTTGGTTTTCAGAATATTGATTACATAAATGTTATCATGTTGTATTCTCTGTTAATTCCTTCTGATTTACTTCATTTTACAGAACAGCTTTGTTCTTCTTTCCAGCACAGTTGTCTTGCTCCTCAGTTTTTAAAGAGCAAATCCACACTAAATCACATCAGGCAGAAAACACTTGCTCCAGTGCTGTTTTGGCTGAAAAAAGCCACTCCCCTGGGAATTAGATACCACTCGGAAAATGGCTAGTAGAGACGTTTAAGCAGTTTAAGCGCAGACTAAATGGAAGTCTGGTGGTCAGTCGTCTTAAATTACAAACCTGTGCAACTTTATGGAATTATTTGTGTTTGCCCATCTGTTATGAAAAAAATGGTCTATGCCAGGAGTAAAATGTACTTTATATAGACCATACTTCTTCAAGACGTATTTTTCTCACCCATTTATTTAAGATACTGTTCACATGTCAAATGCATTTGATATGTTACTCGTATTTGTTAGAGGAATCAGCTCTATGCTCTTGTGGCAAGTTAGCACAACATTCCTGTTTTATGTAGCTTTGAGCTCCAGCCAATCAGCGTTGATTGGCAACACCACTATGGCAGCTGGCTGTAGAAATATTTCTGAGATTAGTGAACTTAATAATTATTTCGACATGAGAAGAGTTGAGTTTGTGGAGTTACATAAATTGCTTTGCTTCAACTTTGAAATGTCTGAAATATGCTTCAGACCTGACCACTTTATGAATTCATAATGAAATCATTTTTTTATTCAATTGCATTGTTTATAAAATGTCCAGAAATGGTGAAAAATGCTTCTCACGGTTTCTTTGGCATTAAGGTGTCTTCTTTGAGTAGTTTTTTTGTTGTTGTTCAACCTAAACCTAAACCTAATCCAAAGATATTCAAATTAAAATAGTCAAGAAAGCAGTAAAGCTTTGCTTTTGAAAATCTGGAACAAGCAATCTTTTGATGTTTGTGCTTGGCAAATGATCATCTAATAAATTAATGGACTGATTGCTTTGATGCTAGTGCAAGCTCAGCAGAGAAGTGCATGTTTGCATGTAAACAGTCCACACAGGCATCAGTACAACCCACTGTCAGCTGATAGCAGTATACTCGGAGAGGGCACGTGGCACTGCAGTATACTTTGCAATAAGGCATGTCTGTGCAGATTCTCAGTCATCCAGGTCATAGTAAGCTGAAAAAAAACTTAAAGATTAAGTGGACTAGATTTCTAGGTTGAAGACTCTCACCGATACTGGGCTATAACGACTCAGTCGTTAAGGGACATTGTTGGCCTTCAAAGGACTGAAACACCACCGAGGGGGATAAATATCTCCGGCTCAACACCAGTCAGTCAGAACTGATGAAGCCTCTTGGACGAGAGGTGAAACGTCTTCCACCTAGAAATCTAGTCCAGTTGATTTTTTTTTCCAGCTTTGATATAGGGCGTTCATTGCACCACTGTTTACACTGACCTTTTAGCAGCACTAAACTCACAGCATTCCTACAGCTTATGCATTTAGGAGTGGCTGGAGGTGTTGTTAGTGTCAAGAACAGGTTTACAAGTATGTTTCCGCATACAAGGAATTAGTCTTGCTAATGCTTTAGAAACTGGTTAAAAATACAGACTTATTACAAAAAGTATGTAATGTTGTGAGTATATGCAATGACTGTTGGTGGTGGGATGAAAGTTTGTCAGCAGGGGTTGTGGGCAGCTGCAGTCAGAAATAAACTGTTCTTGTGCTGAGTAGTTTTGGTCCTGATTTACTGCAGCCCCTTACCGGAGGGGAGTTTTTCAGAAAGTTTGTGTCTGAAGTTGGAGGGGTCGGCTGTAATCTTTCCCGCTTGCTTCAGGGTCCTGGAGTCATGCGGGTCCTGGAGCAATGGCAGATTGCAGCCAATCACTCTCTCAGCAGAGCAAATGATGCACTGCAGTCTGCTCTTGTCCTTGGCGGTAGAGCCAGCATACCAGATGGTGATGGAGCTGGTCAAAGATGGTGGTGTAGAAGTGCACCATCATTGACTGTGGCAGTTTGAACTTCTTCAGCTGCTGCAGGTAGTATATCCTATGGTATGCACTCTTTATTTGGGAGCTGAAGGACTCTACAGAGGTGCAATGTACTGAAATGCTTGGATCCAGCTACAGTTTTCTGCCTCATGTGATTCAGTTTATTTACTCTTTAAATGTACACACATTGAGTTTGTGCGTGTGGATCGCTGTTACTCGTCTATGGAGCTGCTTCCACAGACTTCAAACTACTGTTCACAGCATCTCTGATAACCTTGAGCAGTGGTGTGGTGTGTGTCTGGCTTCTAACCCTCTAACAGTAACATATCTCCTTCCCTCCCTCCTTTTATCCTGCCCTTCATTG